ATAACACACATATTTGTGTGTGTGAAATTATTATGAAATACTGGTTTTTTTTTTATATTACAATATAATAGTATAGTTGCAATAGTAATATATTTCTTTGTCAAATACAAATATGTTTGATAATAATTTATTACATATAATTTTATATTACTTTAGTATTATTTTATTATATGTAATTAAATATTATTGTTTTAAAAAATGTATAGTCATATTGAATGGGGAAAAACTTTTTTGTTTTAGCTGATCACATGCTTGAGTACGCTACAATTGTTTTTGTATAATAACAGATATTAATATATTTCTGTATATATAGTATATATTATATAACAGTATTATTACATGATAAATATTTCCAACAGTAGCCTTCTATGTTGGTGCCACATACAGCATATTTATTTTATTAAGGTAATGCGTTATCAGGGTTTTCTGTGCATACAGAAATTTTGCATACTGTGCGCACACAATACGCTACAATAATAATAAGAGCAGTATGATAGTGTGATCATCATGGCCATAGAGCCTTAATCATAGTCTTGGCACTTGCTAAAAACTTAGTATTGGCACATGGTGCATAAATTGCTCATAATCATGTAAAAACAAGTTTTCTGTCTTTCTTTTCTTTAGTGATCTTAACCACCTGAAAACTGAACTGGATAACTTGGTTGATGTCATCGTGGAACACTTCTACCAACCTGAGAAAAACAACCTGACTCCTCGACCAGAGTGAGAGACTCTATCGCTCAGGATTACAAGGATCTGATCTAATTCAGCTATTAGTCTTAACCTACCACACATAACCACTCTCATTAAAGCTTACATATTCTGAGTCTCAATCTAAGGTGGTTTTCTATAAACTTGCTCTCGCTCTTGTTTCAAGAAGTGTAGATCAAATCTGGTGCCACATGAACATGCCAATTGCCTTTTTCATTTTTGCACAATTTTTTCACCTCTCAGTTTTGTAATCTACAATGTTATCGAATGAAATATTATATGAGAGACTTTTTCATTTGCCTTTTTTGACCTACAGTAGTGAACTCTGAATGTACTAACATAGCACAGAAAGTGTATTTGAATTAATATAAAAGTTATTCATCTCAGCAGATTTATTAGTTGAGTTGATTGACACAAATGATTCCATATTGCTGGAGTAGAGGACAATAGCTAGTTACTGTTCAATTCAGCCAACCGAATAACCTCAGAAATCAAAATGCCAGCTTATGTCAGTTAAAGGGTTAGTTCACCCAAAAATGAAAATTAGCCAATAAATGACTTACCCTCAAGTGATCCTAGGTGTATATGACTTTCTTCTTTCAGACGAATCCAGTCGGAGTTATATAAAAAATTGTCTTTGATCTTTCAAGCTGTTTAATGCCACTCAGCGGGTGTTGCATGCTTCAGTCCAAAACAAGTTAAATAAAAAAGCGCCCATCCATAAAAAAAAGTGTCTCACACGGCTCCGGGGGGTGAACAAAGGCCTTCTGTAGCAAATCGATGTGTTTTTGTAAGAAAAATATCCATATTCAAAATGTAATAATCACTTTAATGTAGCTTGCGCCAACAGTTGTACACAGAAGCAGCTCCGGGCGGATGACGTATGAGGTCAGCGTTGCGCATGCGCCGGTGAGTCTCGTGAAAACCAACGTTTGTTACCAGGAGCAAAGGAAGCAATGTTTCCTTACTTTAGCAAAGGAAAACCAGTCTCCTCTTGGCTTATAATGAAATCCTCCGACATTTTTCTTCACAAATCCTCGTTTTGTACTTCTAATTAGTGACCGTTGTTTTGTTTTGATCTCTCCGCTGCGTTTCTGCGTGCGTCACTTCTGAGCGGCGCATGCGCAAAGCCGACCTCCATACGTCACCTCCATGGGCGCTTTTTATTTAACTTGTTTTGGACTGAAGCATGCAACACCCGCTGAGTGCCATGAAACAGCTTGAAAGATCAAAGACAATTTTTAATATAACTCCGACTGGATTCGTCTGAAAGAAGAAAGTCATATACACCTAGGATCACTTGAGGGTAAGTAGTTTATGGGCTAATTTTCATTTTTGGGTGAACTAACCCTTTAATACCAGCAATCCATAATAGTTTTACCAAAAATAATTTAAAATAAATGAGAGGGACCTAACAGCCTTACTGTGGAACAAAGTGATATCTACATTTTAGTTTTCCGCATTTACATGATTCCATTGCATCTTTATTCAGTCATCTCAGTTCAGTGACATGTAACTCTTTGATTACATGTGATTTGTTTGTAAATGTTTATTATATTTTGAATGTCAGCATCAACCAGCTAGTTTGATCATTCATTCAGAACCTTTAGCTGTGAGGTTGAGACTGGCAACATGTTTGCAAGGTTTTACATTCGAACAGAAAATTATTCCTTGAATAGATGAGTGTATGTGACCAACCAGATTTCTTGTGTTAAAGCAACTTGCTTTTTAGTTTTGGCACATTGCTATGACACTGGGATTTAACAGAACATGCTTTACTACAAACTCCAAAGCTGACTATGTCATCTAATGTCATCTAAGGTAAGGCCACCAGATACAGAAAAATGCTTGTTGATTTATTTTTCGTGTAAAGTGATTTAATACATTTCAGGTGCTCTTGAGTTTAATACTTTTCTCACAGTGCTGTTTTTCCCTTTATTTTGAATCAATAAACAGCAAGTGGTAACCACAAATTGGTATTTCGTCTGTGCGGGAGTGTGCTTTGTGTAGAAATAAATAAAATCTAATATAACAAATGACACTATAAATGCATTTTATGCCTAGATTAAACATGTTATTCGAACATTCATTGCCCTTTTTTAAAAAGTCTGTCACAGGTCTCATGGGTTCATTAAATTGTGTTTTCCTGAAGTATGAGATATGAACTGGACTATAAAAAGGGAAGTTGCATGGACTATCTGTTTACGGCCAGCAGAGGGTATAGTTGATCCCAATTCTTATTTTATTTTTAACTTTTGTTAAAGGAACACTCCACTATTTTTGAAAATAGGCTCATTTTCGAAATATAGAAACCAAAGAGTATCTATATTTTTCCTATTTAAAACTTGACTCTTCTGTAGTTATATCGTGTACTAAGACGCAATGATATTACGCAGCGCCTGAAAATAGACTAACTTCCGTCAACGTAACCACCTGCTTGCACAGGGAGCGTGCTGGGGACTATTTTCAGGCGCTGCGTAATATCATTGCGCCTGCTGCACCCATGGTACGGCAGCAAAGTCCCTTGATTATTACGCCGGAATGAGAGTATAGTTCCCAGCCATATCGGCCTAGAAAATATAAACTTTTCATTTTCCGTCGGTCTTAGTACACGATGTAACTACAGAAGAGTCAAGTTTTAAATTGGAAAAATATCGAAACTCTTTGGTCATTTTCGAGCGAGATGCTAACGGTCTAATCAGATTCAATTATCTATGCTAAGCTACAGCTAAAAGTGCTACGCCAGACCCGGAGATCGGCTGAATGGATTCAAAAACGGTAAAACTCAACTATTTAACTCTAGGGGAGTTGGAAAATTAGCCTATTTTCAAAAATAGTGGGAGTGTTCATTTAAATTCATGTTTATGATTTATCTTTGTTGCCTTTATTATTTATTTGCATTGCAATATTTTATTTATTATTTGTATTGCCTTTTTTTTTTTTTTTTTTTTTTTTTTTTACAGCTTTTTGGCAACATCAGTGATTTTATTACATTTTCAAGCAGTTCAAATTTGTCCTCTATAGAGGACAATTGAATATCTCCCTCCTTGCGTCTGGAGCAGCACTAAACACCACTCCTGAAGAGTTGAAGAAATTCTTTGGGAGTTCTGTCTACATGGCCTATCTAGGTTATCCAAACATTCAGATGTACTGAGCCTCGAACACCAGCGTTCAAATAGTGGCAGAATCCATGACCAGCAATCGGTTCTACAAACTAAGAAATTATATTAAGATCATCAATGACCTTGATGTTTCAGACGAGGACAAAAGAAGAGACCTCTTGTGGAAAGTCGGACCCCTTCTGAACAAAATGAGGCAAGGATGTCTAAGTCAGCCTAGAACACAAAAACTGTCCATTGATAAGCAGATGATTCCATTTACTGGTCACTACACAGTTCACCACTATGTACTGGGCAAACCATACCCAACTGGATTGAAGGTGTTTGTCTTGGCTACACCAAGTGGTATGGTCTTAGATTTTGTGGTCTACCAAGGCAAGAACGGGCCATTAGAGAACAAGTTGTCCTTCATTTGGCCGAGTCCATTCCCAGAGGAACCCACTTGTTCTTTGACCAGTTCATTACAACCGTTGACCTTCTGGACACCCTGATGGAAAAAGGGACTGGAACACTCATGAAGAGCAGAATTCCGAAGGAGTGCAACATTATAGGGGATCAGACCATCAAATAGAAAGGAAGAGGGGCATCAGAGATGGTGGTCAGACGAAGTCCTCCTGAACTCGCTGTCATTATGTGGTTTGACAACAAGGTAATGGCATCTTCTGCCTACAGCAGTGAGCCTCAGGACACATGCAATAAACGGTCTAAGAAAGACAAAAGGTATGTCCAGGTGTCAAGACCAGTGGCAATTGCTGAGTATAACAGCAACATGGGCAGCGTGGACATGGCCGACTGGATGCTAAGATTCTACAGGAATCAGAAATACATCAAAGTTGCTGCAATATAACAAAGAGTGAAAAACTGAAGGGGGTCTGAATACTTTCCGTACCCACTGTATATACACTCAGGGCCGGATTTACCTCTTATCGTGACATAGGCAAAACAATATTTTGGGCCCCCCTTCCTTATTAATAGGCCTATATAATATTACCACCCCAGCAAACAAAAAAAATTTCGTAATCAGTGGAAACCGTTACAGTGTTTTCTATCGCAATAAGCGCTTGCGTTCAGTCAATAAAAATCATCTTAATTTGTTTGAGAATGGAGAAATACCGTTCCATTAGGCTCCAGCGTATGGCCACATTACCACTTCGGGAGTGCATTATTTCTCTAATAATTTTAACGGCCTGGAGTCACAACCACACATCAAGACATTGTTCAGATGAGTTGTTTCAAGACATTTGACATGTTTACGTCCTGAAATCTTGTGTGTTTAACAACATTTTTACGCACCTCATCCCAAACCTTCCATTGCAAATTCCAAAACGTAATTTTAGAGCTAATAACGGAGGCTTGAGCCATTGATATGCAGGCTAATGCAGTTATTAATGCAGTTATTAGAGAGCGAGAAGGAGAGGGAGAGAGAGAGATTAAGTGCGTGTGAATACCTGCATCTATGCGTCTCTCAGCAGTGTTCAGCAGCAGCGTCTACTAATAGCGAATCTTTAAGTTAAACTCCTCCAAGAACCTCGCTACTGAGAAA